CTATTCTAATTTCAAGCGAAAGTGGGAAAAATTTTAATGGATGATTCTAGAGACCAAAATAAGACAAAAATCAAGAATACTAATTCGTTGATGGAGGCTTCGTTAAAAAGTTATTAACGTTTAAAGTTCCGCCCTTACGGAATTTTTTTCTTGCAAATGCGCGGGATTTCGGGGTTATGTCTAATGACCAAAACTGATTGTAATTGACACCCAAAGCCAAATATAATTTTTCCAGAAACATTTGAAATTTTTTACTTTCGTCGAAAAAAGGCACCATCGATTTTTCTTAAAAATTCGTTTTTGATTTTTATTAATTTTGTTTGACGCCCTATAGAAAAGTTGTCTAATACTTTTTTGTTGATAACTATGAGCTTCACTTCAGAAAAAAGTTTCATTCAAATATCTTTACTATTGTAGTAGTTATGGCCACTTGAAAATTGGACCATTTTTATGAATTTTAAGAATTTTTTTCTCAAAAGTGAGTAGGATTTCGGGGGTACGTGTAATGACGAAAAATGATTACAATCGACCCCTGCAACCGAAAATAATTTTTCGAGAACAATTTGAAATCTTTCGTCAAAAATTTGGTCGATTTTTCTTAAAAATTCGTTTCTCATTTTTATTAATTTTGTATGACGCCCTATAGAAAAGTTGTCTAATACTTTTTTGTTGATAACTATGAGCTTCACTTCAGAAAAAAGTTTCATTCAAATATCTTTACTATTGTAGTAGTTATGGCTAATTGAAAATTGGACCATTTTTATGAATTTTAAGAATTTTTTTCTCAAAAGTGAGTAGGATTTCGGGGGTACGTGTAATGACGAAAAATGATTACAATCGACCCCTGCAACCGAAAATAATTTTTCGAGAACAATTTGAAATCTTTCGTCAAAAATTTGGTCGATTTTTCTTAAAAGTTCGTTTTTTATTTTTATTAATTTTGTTTAACGTCCTACAGAAAAGTTGTCTAATACTTTTTTGTAGATAACTATGAGCTTCACTTCAGAAAAAAGTTTCATTCAAATATCTTTACTATTGTAGTAGTTATGGCTAATTGAAAATTGGACCATTTTTATGAATTTTAAGAATTTTTTTCTCAAAAGTGAGTAGGATTTCGGGGGTATGTGTAATGACGAAAAATGATTACAATCGACCCCTGCAACCGAAAATAATTTTTCGAGAACAATTTGAAATCTTTCGTCAAAAATTTGGTCGATTTTTCTTAAAAATTCGTTTCTCATTTTTAATAATTTTGTTTGACGCCCTATAGAAAAGTTGTCTAATACTTTTTTGTTGATAACTATGAGCTTCACTTCAGAAAAAAGTTTCATTCAAATATCTTTACTATTGTAGTAGTTATGGCTAATTGAAAATTGGACCATTTTTATGAATTTTAAGAATTTTTTTCTCAAAAGTGAGTAGGATTTCGGGGGTATGTGTAATGACGAAAAATGATTACAATCGACACCTGCAACCGAAAATAATTTTTCGAAAACAATTTGAAATCTTTCGTCAAAAATTTGGTCGATTTTTCTTAAAAATTCGTTTCTCATTTTTAATAATTTTGTTTGACGCCCTATAGAAAAGTTGTCTAATACTTTTTTATAGATAACTATGAGCTTCACTTCAGAAAAAAGTTTCATTCAAATATCTTTACTATTGTAGTAGTTATGGCCACTTGAAAATTGGACCATTTTTATGAATTTTAAGAATTTTTTTCTCAAAAGTGAGTAGGATTTCGGGGGTACGTGTAATGACGAAAAATGATTACAATCGACCCCTGCAACCGAAAATAATTTTTCGAGAACAATTTGAAATCTTTCGTCAAAAATTTGGTCGATTTTTCTTAAAAATTCGTTTCTCATTTTTATTAATTTTGTTTGACGCCCTATAGAAAAGTTGTCTAATACTTTTTTGTAGATAACTATGAGCTTCACTTCAGAAAAAAGTTCCATTCAAATATCTTTACTATTGTAGTAGTTATGGCTAATTGAAAATTGGACCATTTTTATGAATTTTAAGAATTTTTTTCTCAAAAGTGAGTAGGATTTCGGGGGTACGTGTAATGACGAAAAATAATTATAATCGACCCCTGCAACCGAAAATAATTTTTCGAGAACAATTTGAAATCTTTCGTCAAAAATTTGGTCGATTTTTCTTAAAAATTCGTTTCTCATTTTTATTAATTTTGTTTAACGTCCTACAGAAAAGTTGTCTAATACTTTTTTATAGATAACTATGAGCTTCACTTCAGAAAAAAGTTTCATTCAAATATCTTTACTATTGTAGTAGTTATGGCCACTTGAAAATTGGACCATTTTTATGAATTTTAAGAATTTTTTTCTCAAAAGTGAGTAGGATTTCGGGGGTACGTGTAATGACGAAAAATGATTACAATCGACCCCTGCAACCGAAAATAATTTTTCGAGAACAATTTGAAATCTTTCGTCAAAAATTTGGTCGATTTTTCTTAAAAATTCGTTTCTCATTTTTAATAATATTGTTTAACGCCCTATTGAAAATTTGTCTAATACTTTTTCATAGATACCCACGAGCTCTACTTCAGAAAAAAGTTTCATTCAAATATATTCACTAATGTACTAGTTATGAACGTTTGAAAATCGGAACCTTTTTTATGGGGTTTTTCTCATTTTGCGGGGTGAAGGAACAACTTTTCGAATATTTTTGGAACTTCTACATATTCTCCACTAAAATACGCGCAGTTTGCATTTCGAAACATTAAAATCGTCCAATCCGTTCAGGAGTTATGATGTTTTAAAGATACACGTGAAATTTCGGGGCAACATTTCTAACCTCAAATTAGATTTTCGATAAGGAATTTTTTTTCTCGAAAATGGTTTGGATTTCGGGGGTATATCTATCCACCAAAAGTGATTGTAATTGGCTTCTGCGACCGAAAATAATTTTTCCAAAGCGATTTGAAATTTTTTTTTCGCCAAAAAATTTAGGCATCTGCCTCCTGTCGATTTTTCTTAAAAACTAGTTTTTCATGTTTAGTAATTTTTCTGCGTCAAAAAACGCGTTGTTTGCATTTTGAAACTTTAAAATCCTCCGATCCGTTCAAAAGTTATGACATTTTAAAGATTAGCATGAAATTTCGGGGAACCATTTCAGGCCTCGGATTATATTTTCGGTAAAGAATTTTTTTCTCGAAAATGCGTAGGATTTCGAGGTTACGCGTAACGACCAAAAATGATTGTAATCGACCCTTGCAACCGAAAATAATTTTTTTAGAACGATTTGAGAAATTTCTATTTCGCCGAAAAATTTCATCCATTTTCGAATTTTATTCTCGAAAATGCGTAGGATTTCGAGGTTATGCGTAACGACCAAAAATTATTGTAATCGACCCATGCAACCGAAAATAATTTTTTTAGAACGATTTGAGAAATTTCTTCGCCGAAAAATTTCATCCATTTTCGAATTTTGTTCTCGAAAATGCGTAGGATTTCGAGGTTATGCGTAACGACCAAAAATGATTGTAATCGACCCTTGAAACCGAAAATAATTTTTTTAGAACGATTTGAGAAATTTCTATTTCGCCGAAAAATTTCATCCATTTTCGAATTTTGTTCTCGAAAATGCGTAGGATTTCGAGGTTACGCGTAACGACCAAAAATTATTGTAATCGCCCCTTGCAACCGGAAATAATTTTTTCAGAATTATATAAAATAGTTTAATTTTATTTTTTAATAACTTTTCAACGAAGTCAAGAAATTGATATTTTTTTATTTTCGTCTTATTGTGTCGTGTAAAATTCTCGTATAACGTGTGAAAATAACTCTCTCGTGTCTCATTGCCGTGGTTATTACGAATGATATCACAAATGCAAATCTACCTTCTCACCTTCTCACCTCAGCACATTCAACCCGTACTTTACGTTCTTTAGCGTTTGATCAGTAACAATCATTCAATGTTTTATACGTTCTATCAATTATCATTGCATTTGCATTTCTGATTTTACGTAATGCATGATAATTAATACAGTAAATGGAAAACGTCTTGAATATCTCGGATAGCGTATAATTCTGAAGCTGTTGACGTCCTTCAGGTCGGTTTTCATGTTAATTCGTGTCACATTTTAAGTTGATTAAACTTTACACCAACTAAGAAAAAAAAATGCATATAGCATTCAAATTCCAGTACAAACTATTGTACTAGAAGGTTCTTTTAATACTGTTTAAAACTTTATGACTAATAAATCATTTTCATCGACGCATGCTTTTGTCGATTACCAGAATTTGTTCTATACGGAACATTTGAAATATGCGGTGCAAGAAGTATTAATTTTCGTTGAAAAAATAAATTGAAACTGTCGTGTAAGCCTTCGTTTTCAAAACAAATCAATTTTGACAAAATTGATATCGTGTGTGTATTAGTTTTTCTTGCGAGTCTTGCGCATCGTCTTCCTTTTCTTCGTAGAAAATATTTTGTTCGTTCGAATTCGTTTATCGGTGTGTGTCATCTTTAATTAGCGATTCATTTTTAAGGATGCAAGAAGATGATTGCGTTAACTTGCAATGCTACAATGAGGACTTCTCGCACAGTGTTTCTTTAAATCATGTCGTACGCAACGTAAAAGATTATTCAGAAACTGTTATTCGCTGTGCGGCGTTAAATCTTTCCTTTATAAAATGAATGATACCGGTACACTGCTGTCGAGTAGCCATCGCTGCTTGCGCAGAGGATTAAAAAAATATCCTAGTATCGATAACAAAATATGGGACTCGAGTAGTAATTGGATTCTTCAATGGGATAATATTATGAAGCACCCAGGTGCTAGAGCGAGAGGATGCCATTGTGACATTCATAAACCACCGTGGCAATATCCAAACTTAGGTACACAGTTAAAAAAATAATTAAATTACTGCGAAAATGTACTCTACGAGTTAATTACCTTTTAGGTGAAAATAGTTTTAAAGACTGAAATTCTTTCTTATATTCTGAACTTACATTTATATTAATGTCTTTAATTTCAGTTGGAAAGAGCACGGATGAGCCGGACAGAGCAGTAAGCATTAGACGTTAATAAACCAACATTGCGACTAGTTCAACGAATTGAAACGCAATTAATTTGAATGTTTTAGATTAAGTCTGCTCCTGCGAAAAGGTTAGCCATTCCACCGAAAAGAGGACAGTTTGGACCTGCTAGTAGAACCACATCTTCCGTTTTAGGTATATGTACATTTTGTATAAAACTACTAATATCATTCCGACGATCAAAAAATATATAAAAATGTAATTATTATATTATTTCATATTGTTCTTTTAGTTCTCTAATCTTTACGAGTTACAATGAAATTCTCGTTATATTTATTAGCATAGTATATTAGAATATTTCTTAAATTGTACTCGCTTAGATCAGGAATAAGATAGGTACTAGTCGAATACTTCTCAAGATTTTCATTCAGGTTTGTTTATAATCTCTGAGCAATATACTTCTTTCATTAACCTTTAGTTCATAGATTCATATTTATTTTGTTGTATGCGAACTAAAGTGCTTTGTGTGCTACATTGAATACGCTAAAACTATTTTTACGAAACACAAATGCTCTACTTATTTCACTTCGTTCACACGAATGTTGCAATTCTTACTATTAACTTAACGTAAGCACATATAACCGGTACACAAATGTGAAGCGTGCTAACTTACAACTTTTATGCTTTCTCCTTACTGTGGCTCTGTGTATTAAATAATATTAATAGTATCTCTCCATTGATCACCGATAAAACTATTTTGAGTGAGAGATATGCTAATTATTCGCTTGCATGACAGCTCGACCTGGTAATACATCACACACGGTTCCAAGGACACCAACCGTCAAAAGAAACGTGTCAGTAAAATCGATACCAGGTATCTAAAATTCCATTGGCTTTTATTAGTTTTGTATAATATCATGATGGTTTGTAAAACAAGTTATACATATATTTTGTTAGAAACTTATTAATTTTCTTTGCGTTAGTTTTTCTTCTTTTTCTGTGAACATCCGTCATGGTATAAATACAAGAAATAAGAAATTATTAAAATTCGGTCGAACTAATACCATGTATATTTTGCGTATCATTGCTTCATCTTTATTCGTTTGTGCTTTATTTAATAGGAGTATGAAATTTAATAAGATGCTTCTACATCTGTATTATTTGTTCGGTCGCACTGCTTTTTGTGTTACTTTCATTCTATAACGAAACATTAAATATTTAGGACGATAAGGTGTCGTATACATTCTCAATTTTTGTTTTACTTAACGAGTCATGAATCGAACAGCAAAGCACATAATATAATACAATATTTAGAGCAAAAATTTTTCTGCATTGCAGATCGTCATTGTTTTAAGTAGCATTTCTGTCGATACGTTGTAGGTGTATAAAGTTACGGTTAATGTATTTAGGCCAGGCCGGTGCAGTGGACGAAGAGACGTTTCTCACAGCGTTTGAAGATGTGCCATCGGTGACTTTGTTTTCAGCAAAAGACCTGGAGGAACAGATGAGAGCTATAAAAGACAGCGTTGGCGATGATAAAAAGGATTGGAAACAAAGGACAGAAAGTGTATGCGTTGGATGAATTAAGCCGTTCACAAAATACATAATTATTTCAATCGTTGGGCATTACCTAACGAACTAATTTCATTTACAGATGAAAAAGTTAAGGTCTATTATAATCGCAGGCGGTATAAATTACGAGAATTTTCTAGAATGTTTGAAGAATGTGCAAAGACCTTTTGAGGTGGCTTGCAGCGATCTCAGATCACAAGTTGTTAGAGAGGCGTGCATCACTCTGGCATTTCTTAGCCAACATTTGAAAAATAAATTCGCCAGTTTTGGAGAGGCGGTCTTACTCACACTAATGAACCTCATACAAAATAGTGCCAAGGTGAAATTCATGATACATCGTTCTTAGCGACAACGAAATGGACGGTGCGACGATACGTAGAAACGTACACTAATAATTTTGTGCATTCAGGTTGTAGCGACTGCCGGCGCTGTGGCTGTGAGGTTTATTCTTCAAAATACACATTGCAGCCGTTACGTGCCAATTATCGCATCGTGTTTAAATAACAAGAGCAAAGACATACGACGCGCTTCGTGCGAATATCTAAATCTAATTTTACAAACGTGGCCTACCCAAATATTGCAGAAACATGTCCAGATATTGCAAGACACGATTAAAAAGGGCATTGCGGATTCGGACTCGGAAGCAAGAGCCTTCGCTAGGAAGTAAATATACTTAGCGATTAAATGACTCTTATAAAATACTGATAAATAGAAATACTGATTTTGAATATTTACAGATCATATTGGGCATTCAAAGATCATTTCACCGAGCAAGCAGAAACGTTACTCAACAGTCTTGATACCGCATACAAACGTTCGTTGATGTCATTTAGCAATAGTGGTAGTATTAACAGTTTAAACGTAGTGACGAGATCGGCGAGCATCAGTCCGAGAACATCCAGACCAGTAATGAGCGCTACAGGTAAATCTCAGTTCAAGTTTTATTCAGTTGCAAAGGAAGTACTTTTAATGGATAGTGATCGGACTAGATGTGAATGTGGATGCTATATCGGTAACGAAGCAACGCGGTGTAAACTTTTTCTCACTTTTTTTCATGCTGCTTTGTGCGACTTTACATTAAACGTATGAAGGTAGTACGGAAAATTTGCATCAGACTTCGGGTCAACCACATGGCCCGCTCAGACGTACTCCGTCCTTGCCACGGTCTTATCGCCAGTCTGGTATTCCAGTTCTACAAAGATCCACTGATTATCATTGTAATTGTTACGTTCTTGGTCGATGCTTGAAAAGATCCACTGCGACTTACAAGGGACAATCCCTAACTCGGATATTAAATGACTTCTGAAAGCTTTAGGAGTATGTTCTGACATATATAGATATGTATCACGCAATTCTTTGTTGTCCAAATTCACATTACCGACCGATAGCCGACTAATCAACCTCTACCGGTCGGTAAGCGTTGGTCGGTAAAACAGTTGATTAATACGCTGTCGGTCGGTAAGTGTTGGCCGGTAAAAAAGTCGATTAATAGGCTATCGGTCGGTAATGTGTTAATCTGAATGAAGCAATAGTTTCAGCAGAACTGTAGCACGTTTCCAGCAACAAAAAATTCAGAAAATACATTCTGTTGCTTGTTCAAAAATTAGATTTGACTGAATTACCAGCAACAAAAAATTTACAAAACACATTCTATCGATTGTCCTATAATTAGATTTCATTAAATTTCCAGCAACAATAAATTCAAGAAACACACTCTGTGATTGTCGGTGAACGGTTGATAAATCGGCTATCGGTCGGTAAGCGTTGGTCGGTAAAACAGTCGATTAATAGGCTATCGGCCGGTAATGTGTTAATTTGTTGAAAAAAATGTGTGCGTTCAATTGAAATGATTTGTTCACCATCTACTAAGCATTTCTTGAACTTGTGAGAACAATTTTTTCCAAGTGTTTATTTACAACGGAGCAAATGGTGTTATCCCAAACCATGTACGGTATGTTGATATACATGATTCAAAAATTGTTGAACCAAATTTAATGAAATTTGGTACACATATTCTCAATATCATTCTCTATCGGTGAGACTTTTATTTTTAATTAGTGTTTGATATATTGGTAAAAAGTATATTGGTGAAAGATTTTTCTCAAATATTTGGCTATTTTTGATTTCCTCGTTGTAACTTGGGAACTGTACAAGATAAAAAAGTTTTCAGACGAAAGTTATTTCTTAAAACTGGATCTATCGTTTGATATATGATTTGTCAATTTTGTTAAATAATCTATTAAATGTTACGAACAAAAATCGATATTCTTATTAATTTTATGTTTTTTTTTTCATATATCGTCCCATTTAATATTAACATTTAAATATGAAATAAAATCTCTTTTGTTTAACACATAATAATTTTTTATGAGTGCAAAACATGTTTTTGCAATGAGATATTGTACGTCATACATGCATTGTATAACACATTTGGCGAAAACAACTAGAAATGATCGATAGTTTAGAATATATTGTTTGCTGTGGCATGTTTGAATAAAACACGGGTTTTCATAGCTGTTTAGGTTGGGTTAGGTCTGGGTTAAATCTATTTAAAACAAAATAAATCTATTCCCTGGGGGAATAAGATTATCTATAAATCCAGACCTAACCCAGACCTAACCCCCGTTATCAGCGATGAATTGGTCTGGGTTAGGTCTGGATTAGGTCTGGATTAGGTCTGGGTTAGGTCTGGGTTAGGTCTGGATTAAGTCTGGGTTAGGTCTGGGTTAGGTCTGGATTAAGTCTGGGTTAGGTCTGGGTTAGGTCTGGAATAAGTCTGAATTAAGTCTGGGTTAGGTCTGGGTTAGGTCTGGAATAAGTCTGGGTTAGGTCTGGGTTAGGTCTGAATTAAGTCTGGGTTAGGTCTGGGTTAGGTCTGGGTTAGGTCTGGGTTAGGTATGAATTAAGTCTGGGTTAGGTCTGGAATAAGTCTGAATTAAGTCTGGGTTAGGTCTGGGTTAGGTCTGGGTTAGGTCTGAATTAAGTCTGGGTTAGGTCTGGGTTAGGTCTGAATTAAGTCTGGGTTAGGTCTGGATTAGGTCTGGGTTAGGTCTGGGTTAGGTCTGAATTAAGTCTGGGTTAGGTCTGGACTTAAAGTCTAGGTTAGGACTTAATTCAGACTTATTCCAGACCTAACCCAGACTTAATTCAGATCTAACCCAGACCTAACCCAGACTTAATTCAGACCTAACCCAGACTTAATTCAGACCTAACCCAGACCTAACCCAGACCTAACCCAGACCTAACCCAGACCTAACCCAGACCTAACCCAGACCTAACCCAGACCTAACCCAGACCTAATCCAGTCCTAACCCAGACTTAATTCAGACCTAACCCAGACCTAACCCAGACCTAACCCAGACTTAATTCAGACCTAACCCAGACCTAACCCAGACTTAATTCAGACCTAACCCAGACCTAACCCAGACTTAATCCAGACCTAACCCAGACCTAACCCAGACTTAATCCAGACCTAACCCAGACCTAACCCAGACTTAATCCAGACCTAACCCAGACCTAACCCAGACTTAATCCAGACCTAACCCAGACCTAACCCAGACCTAATCTAGATCTAATCCAGACCTAACCCAGACCTAACCCAGACCTAACCCAGACCTAACCCAGACCTAATCCAGACCTAACCCAGACCTAATCCAGACCTAATCCAGACCTAACCCAGACCTAATCTAGACCTAATCCAGACCTAACCCAGACCTAACCCAGACCTAATCCAGACCTAACCCAGACCTAACCCAGACCTAATCCAGACCTAATCCAGACCTAACCCAGACCTAATCTAGACCTAATCCAGACCTAACCCAGACCTAATCCAGACCTAACCCAGACCTAACCCAGACCTAATCCAGACCTAACCCAGACCTAACCCAGACCTAATCCAGACCTAATCCAGACCTAACCCAGACCTAATCTAGACCTAATCCAGACCTAACCCCCGTTATCAGCGATGAATTGGTCTGGGTTAGGTCTGTATTAGGTCCGGATTAAATCTATGTTAGGTCTGGGTTAGGTCTGAGTTAGTAAACACTTAATTTGTTCTAAAAAAAAGTATTATTTATATTGTTTTTACCTATTTCAACCAGTGATTAAGATATCGATTTTTGTTTATAACATTTATTTAATTTTTTAAACAAAGTGACAAATCACTTATAAAATGACAGTTTCAGTTTTAACACATTACCGACCGATAGCGTATTAATCAACTGTTTTACCGACCAACGCTTACCGACCGATAGCCGATTAATCAACCGCTGCCGGTCGGTAAAGCGTTAAGAAGTAACTTTTGTTTGAAAACTTTTTTTCTATTTTGTATAGTTTACAAGTTACATCAAGAAAATAAAAAATATTTAAATATTTGAGAATGAATTTTTGCCCCTCACAGTGGACTTTGGGCAACAACAAAAAATTACGTGATACATAATAGATATGTATGTATAGATGTGCCTTACGTGCTCCCAAAGTTTCAAAATTTGTTGCATTTTCGAGTTGGGGACCATCCCTCGTTAGAATATTGCACTAATGCATCCAAATACGCAGAACAAACCTATCCAATAGTTTGACGTATATATTTAAATTTGCCTTCAGATCGTGCAACACCAGGTGTTAGGTCTACCAGTGCTATAGATTTACAAGCCGCGCAAAGGGCGAAAGCAAGGATGATGTATGCAAATATCAACAGACAAAAAGCTTCTCCTCGTAAGTGACAATTATTAAGATTATTCTATATATTTGTTTAAATATCCATAGTTTAATAATCATACATAAGGATATATAGCGTGAACTACAAAAGGCAAGTTTGTTAATATTTTCAAAAATATTTAGGCTTCGAAGCATTTACTAGTAACGGATTCTGAGAATGAAAGCATTACGATATACTCTATTAAAAAACTAATATTTCTGAAATATTAGTATCAGCTACAAAAATATTACGATTACTGCTTGATTGACCTTAACATTAATAACATAATAACATGTTCTGCGATACACTATTTCTATAGTAACATTAGGCCGCTGTTTTCTATCATTTGAGATAATGCGACAAAGCAATTCAAGTGTTATAATTTCACTATTTTGGTAGTCGAAGAACTTGGAAATTAGTAATTTTAGGATAAATAATCTGGTCACTCCGTTAAAAAAGTCAAATTGTCTTGAAAACTTGCAGGAAAATGTATCGTATTCAGCCTGTAGATCTGTTCGAACTAAAATATGTACAACGAGTTCATTCTATACATGATATATATTGTTTTTTCGTTCAGCACGTCCCAGTAAATCCCCAGATGCTACAACGGTTGCTAGTCCAGAGAGAATCCCAAGAACACGAACGAGAATGGCTGGAGTATCGCAATCCCAGCGTAAGTAGAAAGAAATCTAGGGTTATTTTTATCAGCGGTATGCCTGGTGAGTGAACGCAGCGTGAAGTGGGCTTAACTGTTGGCAGCACTGTCACGCGAGGGGATCTACGCGTCAGTTCCCCATTGTCATTAAAACAACATTGTTTTACACAAGAAAAACGTGTTTAGTGTCGTGTTAAAGAAAATATGAGGTTAGATGAGTCTTAATTTTAGTTAATTTATTGTAACAGCCAGCAGTCGGTCGGGATCACCGTCGTCTAGGTTAAGTTACGCGACGTATAATCGCGAAGGTGAATCGTTAATTGCGAGACCAAGACGATTATCTGGACACGGAATCAGAAGCACTGGCAACAGTCGTGAACCCAGTCCGCAAAGATTCGGAATGGACAGGAGTTTTGCTAGCAAAATACGGTATTGCATTCATTTGTTCACTGCGACACGACTTGGGGTCTGGCTATGAAGATGTATTTTATAATTTGTAGCGGAAGAAATTTGCATATGTCTCCTACGGACAGACCTCAGTCCAGACCGGTCATGGCACAAAAGATGCTGCAACAATCTCGCGAGGCGGAATCTGCATTAGCCGATGCGCTCACATTTGATAATATCGATAGTTACACGAGAACGCCAAGAGTGAAAGGTGATCACAGCGACGACAGTGAAACCAGCAGTATATGTTCGGAGCGAAGCATGGACAGCTTTAGGCGACCAAATGACGTAAGTAAAACGAAGAACAAATATTATTGGCTAGACGATAAAGTAACAAATACTCTTATTAAACTTTATTCGAACAATTATAAACAAATCTGTGATAATTATCCGAATAACATTGCGCCCAGTACTGCATCTTATCACGATTACAGTAGAAGAGTAAAGTAATAATGAAATTAGTAATTTATAACATGTTCACGTTCAGCAACGCTCTTCATTATTTCATGTGGACCCATTCGAGTCTAAAGTTGCATTATCAGAATCTTTTAATGAACGAATAATTAAGTGCGTCTCACTGACTGCAACTAACGTGCTAAATTAAATTCCAGGATAATTACATTAGTTTCATGCACACTCTTCATTAACATTACAGACATGATTCGAACAAGTATTATACTCCATTATGCTTTCTTATTGGATGTTTATTAATTTAATAATGCTTCGTTAACATCTATGTGCAATAAAATGCCCTCGAGTAGCTGCAATATCATATGTATTTATGGATTTACATTTGCTACGCAATTTGAAGACGCCTTCTACCTTTCGAACACTACGAACGAACATATTCCTCTCCTAAGTTATTATTTTATTGTAAAATTCATAATGCATACCTAATTTCAATGAGTATGCAATATAGAGGGTGTTCGGTTACCTCGGGAATATTTAATGGGAGATTCTAGAGGCAAAAATTAGACAAAAATCAGGAATAGTAATTTGTTAACACTTTACCGACCGGTAGCGGTTGATTAATCGGCTATCGGTCGGTAAAGAAGTTGATTAATACGCTATCGGTCGGTAAGCGTTGGCCGGTAAAACAGTTGATTGATAGGCTCTCAGCCGGTAAGCGTTGGTCGGTAAAACAGAGTCGATTAATAGGCTATCGGTCGGTAATGTGTTAAGGTAATTTCTTTAAATGGAACCATATATTTTTTTGTTGATAATATCATAGCGTTTATTATAACAAATTCAACGACTATATGATATCATTACGAGTCAGATATTGCTGTCATTTTCGCAGTAGCAGCTAGTAGCAGCTGATTTTTGTTTAGGAAAAGGCATCAGTCTTTAAAATGAAACCTTTATCTCCCTTCACTCCTGATTAAAAAAATGGACTTCGAGGCTGCGAGCGCCATTTGACGTGGACCAATTTATGCTCGCATTTATTGCTTTCATTTTTGCAGTAGCAGGTAGTCGCATTTTTGTTTAGGAACGAAGGCAAGACATCAGTCTTCAAAACGCGACCAAAACAAAAGCTTCATCTCGCTTCAATCCTAACTAAGAAATGGAATGAAAATTCAAAACATTCTAATAAGCATAACTCAAATATCATACATGTCTCCAAACATAATAGAATATTTACCATTTTACGAGAGACAAACTACTCAAAACAGTTTTACTTTATAATATAATAGAATCGCATTTTATTTTCATTATGTTCGTAAACATATGTAATATCATTGCCCGGATTCCTGCCATCGCAGAGTAGATTTAGACGAGAAGCTTAACCCCTTGCACTATTTTCACGAGTCTGACTCGCGATGAAAATTTTAGGCTAAACTCGAACATCACGAGTCAGGCTCGTTGTTTAATTTCATGTCAAAGATTCCAGATCGAGCACAGGGTGCAGATTCCAAGTCATAAGTTGACGTGAGGTTAGATTTCAGTTGTCCAAGAGCGAGAAGGCAAATGAGCTCTCTCTCACTCGACTCCCACGAGACTGTCCGAACTTACTTCGGGCAGCTTCGGGGAATCGAGAAAGAGCGCATGCGTCGGTTGCCTTCGTCGACTCTCCGAAACTCTACGAGGTCACGCATGCGCAATCTGGCATCTATGCGTCAAACGCGAATAACACGAGTCTGACACGAAAGCAACATTTCGTCCAAACATGAATATCACGAGTCGAATTCGTAAATATGGATATTTCGTCCATCGACATATCGTGTTTCAATTTCCGACATTCGGTTTTTTTAACCCCTTGCACTATTTTCACGAGTCTGACTCGCGATGAAAATTTTAGGCTAAACTCGAACATCACGAGTCAGGCTCGTTGTTAAATTTCATGTCAAAGATGCCAGATCGAGCACAGGGTGCAGATTCCAAGTCATAAGTTGACGTGAGGTTAGATTTCAGTTGTCCAAGAGCGAGAAGGCAAATGAGCTCTCTCTCACTCGACTCCCACGAGACTGTCCGAACTTACTTCGGGCAGCTTCGGGGAATCGAGAAAGAGCGCATGCGTCGGTTGCCTTCGTCGACTCTCCGAAACTCTACGAGCTCACGCATGCGCAATCTGGCATCTATGCGTCAAACGCGAATAACACGAGTCTGACACGAAAGCAACATTTCGTCCAAACATGAATATCACGAGTCGAATTCGTAAATATGGATATTTCGTCCATCGAAATATTGTGTTTCAAGTTCCAATATTCAGTTTTTCTCCCAATCGTTCAATATGGTTCAGAAACTGCTTCTTCAGAATTTCAGCGTGGTACAGGGGGTTAAGTAAAGCAGCGCTTTCAGCACAACAATGTAGATAACGCATGTTTGGTTTTTTCTTTTGGTTTTGTTGCGGCGTATTTGTTTGGTTTGGACTAATGCGATGCGCCGTTCTATTCTCCATATCTGTCCATCGTCCATCTACCCATTAGTCGTTCTCATGGAGTGGCTCTCAACAAAGACTGTATCGTGATATGTGGGATCAATCAATCCCGAAGGTTTGTTAAATTTAATATTCACTTCCGTTCTACTCGATGCAAATATCTTATGTACTATACTCTTCTGCCGAATATAAAAAATCAACCGATAACAATTTCTCTACGTTTGGAATATGACTTTACGTTCATTCGTTGCTACGCTACTTTCAATACATATTGTCGTGTAAACAAAATCGTTGCTTTACAGGACATTAAGGAAATTATCGAGAATTGTTCGCATAAACATTGGGGCGATAGGAAAGAAGGCTTGGTCGGACTGCAGCATTTTCTTTCTAATGGAAATACGCTTACAGCAACAGAATTACGTAAAGTGACTGATATTTTCACCAAAATGTTCATGGACTCTCACACGAAAGTTTTCAGTCTATTTCTGGATACGTTGAACGAATTGGTAACCACTCACAGCGAAGATCTTGGCGATTGGCTTTACGTATTGTGCGCAAGGCTAATGAACAAATTAGGTACAGATTTACTTGGTTCGATACAAGCAAAGATTCACAAGACACTCGATGTTGTCAGGTGAGACAAATAATATGAATTTCAGTGTACGGAAAACGCTCGGGTTGTATTTGTTAACCGTTTGGAATTCTTTCGTAGAGAATGTTTCCCAGGAGAACAGCTTCTGCCTGCGATGATGAGGTATTTAACGGATCCAACGCAAACGCCAAATTCTCGTGTAAAAGTAGCCACGCTTACGTTTATTACGCAGATCACAGAAACGGCAGAGCCTTCTGCGCTTAATAATTCTGCTGGATCGGCGCTGGCAAGGTTACTGGATTGGTCTAACGACGTTAAAAGCCAAGACGTTAGAAGGCATGCGCAAAACGCTGTCATATCGTTATACAATTTAAATCCTCCGAAAGTGACAATGATATTGGCCGAGTTACCGAAGTATTATCAAGTAAGACCATTTATACAGCGATTCATAAATATAAATAAAGATTAGTTTTCTTAAAATATATTTGGACATTGACCAGGAGGCAGCGTTGCCATTGGTGCAAAATCACCTGAGGAAGTCCTCCGGTTCGAGTAATCCAGCATCACCCGGTACACCTCCACCCAGGGCGCAGAGTTCACCAGCTCGTTCGAAAGCCAAAGGTGACATTGACAATACGGATGAGAACTTGGAGGAAGTTTACAAGTAAGTTATTTGCATATCTTCGACGTAAAGTACGTTTGGTTTAATCATTCTTTGTAATTTTAATTTTAAAGTGCTTCCTACAGATCTCTGAGACGCACGACGGCAGAAATACAGAATTATGGTTTCGAGCGTTTGGAAAGAGCCACTACCAGCAAAGACAGCGGAATCAGCAATATGGCCGACGTAGAAGAGAAAATGGAAGGTCTCACATTGTGTAATTCGGTAATAAAATAAACAATATAGATAGATTTCATTTATAAAATGAAACGTTTTGTATTGCGTTTTGGTATTATCAGGGTCGTTCGTCTTCCGTTTCGTCGCCTACCCAAAGAGGGCGATCGGTTACGAACATTACGGTGAACGGTTCAACCGATACGATTGCTGGAGATCTAATATTACCTCAAGAAAATAACGGTTACAAGACGCATGGTATGTTCACCATTTTGTGTTGCAGAAATTAATTAGAATTACCATTTTATTTGTTCGATAGTCCATTTAATTTGTTCGATATTTATTGCAGGATCTTCGCCCGATTCGACGAAGAGACAAGAAAGTTTAGAGTATATGATTGAAACATTACAATCGAAGAAGACGCAAACAGAAGAAAAGGTATCAGCATTGCAAGAGTTTCAGCAATATGTCCGCGAAGGAGACGCCTCGTATATCAAACAAAATTTCAAGTAGGTTCTATATCATCTCTGTGTATATCGTAACAAATCAAAACTTTTTTTCGGTCTTCCAATAACCACTGATTCGTGTAGAATTACTGTATCATTTACTAGCATGCCCCGTCTCGGCTTCGCCCGGCCTTGTGCAAAAGCAATTTATGACTAGACGATCGTCCTGATACATATATCCGCGATAATGCAATTCTCTCGCGAGAAAGCGCTCGAGAAGCTTCGCCACCTGGCGGTAACATTGCAGTACTGCTACGGGCGAGGTAAAATTGATTTTCTTTAACATTTCAACTTGAGAATTCATTGTTTTAGTTCCACTGTTAAAAGTTCTGTCACCCATATATATATATAAAAGAAAAAAATTAACCCAGACCTAACCCAGACTTAACCCAGACCTAACCCAAACCTAACCCCCGTTATCAGCGATGAATTGGTCTGGGTTAGGTCTGGAATAAGTCTGAATTAAGTCTGGGTTAGGTCTGGGTTAGGTCTGAATTAAGTCTGGGTTAGGTCTGGGATAGGTCTGAATTAAGTCTGGGTTAGGTCTGGAATAAGTCTGAATTAAGTCTGGGTTAGGTCTGGGTTAGGTCTGGGTTAGGTCTGAATTAAGTCTGGGTTAGGTCTGGGTTAGGTCTGAATTAAGTCTGGGTTAGGTCTGGGTTAGGTCTGAATTAAGTCTGGGTTAGGTCTGGAATAAGTCTGAATTAAGTCTGGGTTAGGTCTGGGTTAGGTCTGGGTTAGGTCTGAATTAAGTCTGGGTTAGGTCTGGGTTAGGTCTGAATTAAGTCTGGGTTAGGTCTGGGTTAGGTCTGAATTAAGTCTGGGTTAGGTCTGGGTTAGGTCTGAATTAAGTCTGGGTTAGGTCTGAATTAAGTCTGGGTTAGGTCTGGAATAAGTCTGAATTAAGTCCTAACCTAGACTTTAAGTCCAGACCTAACCCAGACTTAATTCAGACCTAACCCAGACCTAATCCAGTCCTAACCCAGACTTAATTCAGACCTAACCCAGACCTAACCCAGACCTAACCCAGACCTAACCCAGACTTAATTCAGACTTATTCCAGACCTAACCCAGACCTAACCCAGACCTAATCCAGACCTAATCCAGTCCTAACCCAGACTTAATTCAGACCTAACCCAGACCTAACCCAGACCTAACCCAGACTTAATTCAGACCTAACCCAGACCTAACCCAGACCTAACCTAGACTTATTCCAGACCTAACCCAGACCTAACCCAGACTTAATTCAGACCTAACCCAGACCTAACCCAGACCTAACCCAGACCTAACCCAGACTTAATTCAGACTTATTCCAGACCTAACCCAGACCTAACCCAGACCTAATCCAGACCTAATCCAGTCCTAACCCAGACTTAATTCAGACCTAACCCAGACCTAACCCAGACCTAACCCAGACTTAATTCAGACCTAACCCAGACCTAACCCAGACCTAACCTAGACTTATTCCAGACCTAACCCAGACCTAACCCAGACTTAATTCAGACCTAACCCAGACCTAACCTAGACCTAATCCAGACCTAACCCAGACTTAATTCAGACCTAACCCAGACCTAACTTTTCTTTTCGACGATTAATCGACGATTAAGTAAATCGACGTTAAATTTCCATAGCTTCTCGAATAGATTAATATAGGTTTTGAAATTAAATTTAGTATCACATCCTCATATTGGCGGATATTTTGCCTTGCATTTCCGCATAACCTTTCGAAAATTTTCGCCTGGGTTGCTATTCGACGGAAATATATTTGCCAACGACGCAAATATTTCGCTGAATCGGAAGAAATTAACGAGAAAATGATAACGACACGTGTCCACGTAAAATAATGGGAAAAGTCACGTTTACGTGGTAGAGGGAAATTTTAAAACGTTATTCAATATTTAGATAGATCAATATTTCTCAGAACAATTTAGATAATCCTGTTCAACCATCTTATCGAAAATGATACAATCTGATCAATGTTTCACGACTATTACCCTTTTAGTTACGTTTGCGTCGATAAATGGAAAATAAACAAATTAAGAACATGTAGGAAAGTTAATCTTTACAATTACTGTACAATTATTCACCCATAACTAGACTCTGCGTAGAATTGAATGTTACCAGAGTCATTATTGAAAAGACTGGAACGTTCGATTCTTCGAGTGGACCTGAAAGAAAGAAATACGTCACTACGTATCGTTCTAGAAAAAGAAAAGGAGCACAAAACTATCCAATTACGTTTTTCCAATAACAAGCTTTGAGATCGAACAACGACGAATACTAGCTCCGCCATAATCTGTCAATGTTAAAGCAAACATATATTACTACTAGCATGCCCCGTCTCGGCTTCGCCCGACCTTGTGCAAAAGCAATTTATGACCAGACGATCGTCCTGACATATACATCCGCGATAATGCAATTCTCTCGCGAGAAGGCGCTCGAGAAGCTACGCCACCTGGCGGTAACATCGCAGTACTGCTACGGGCGCGGTATCGCGTATGCGCGCGCAAGTAGACTGTCGTATACAGGGGTCGCGTGGTCCGCCAAACAGTCGTGCACATGAAATCTTTGCACATAAATTACATGTTAATAACGCGCTTCTGAGACATGCTGCGTAGCCTATGTCCGTCCTAGAGTATGCAGGAATAACGTCTCAAAATTTGAGGAAGATCGGTTCAATAGGTCTTGAGTTTTGCGCGAACATAAAAAAACAATTGATAAATTGTTGGGGGGGGGATACAGTAATTCAGCTTCTGGGATCATGGATCAGTGTTTATTGAAAGGCAAAATTCATATTAAACAGTGTTAACGGAATACTAATAAATTTGTTATTTTCCCGTTTTTTAGGAAACTGCTCAAAACGTTATTTGATAGTCTAACCAACGATAGCAAGAAAATGCAAGTGGAGGTACTGCAAACGTTAATTGATATGCTTAAGTGTCCAGAACTTGTAGATAGTTTTTCCGTTTACCCCGAGCTGCTCGTTCTAAAAGTAATCAACGCTTACAAATTGGATGACCAGAAACAAGATTCTTCCAGCGGCAGCAGCAACTCGAGATCTTCAGTAATTGTATACATTAATAGACGAGAATTAATCGTTCCCAATCGTGCATTGTAGCTAATCGTTAATGCTTACGTTGAACAGATCCTCTGGATAGCCGAAAAATGTGCGGCAACAATAGCGATGGTCCTGAAACCGGAGCAAATAATTCATTTAGTGTCGACTATAATAACTACCGAACCGTATCCTCTGAACATGGGGGCGATAAAAATGTTGCACAAAGTAGTGGAACATTGGGGTCGGGATGCCATAGAGCCTCATCTGTCTAAAGTTATGCCTGGTCTCATCAAGGTAAGTTCAAATACAAAGTATTTGTTTTCTACGTAGAAGTAACGTTTATTTTGATCATCAGGCTTACGACGATCAAGAAAGTGCTGTCCGTAAAAGTGCCGTTTTCTGCATGGTAGCGATACATTTGGCGGTTGGCGAGGAAGTGTTGAAGCCTCACCTCAGCTGTTTGTACACCAGCAAATTGAAGCTTTTAAATATTTATATACAACGCGCTCAACAGGCGAACAGTCAACCGGCGAGTCCGCGTAGCAATAGTAAAAATTAACTAACATCAAACTCCGCGACGCTTAGGATCGCGATACTTAAGAGGTTTGCACGTCTAAGCGCAAGGCATGAACGAATGCTGTTCAGTTTCTTGAGTAAATCGAATCCGTGACGACCATATGGAACCCCGGATACACGATGTACACGTCGAAGGTTTTCGACGCAGGTGGGACTGATCTGTACGGCTACGCGGCAAAGGTGTGCGCGCGCGCGCGCGCGTGTGTGCGACATAGCTGAGAACTCCTTGGACAGTGATGTTGCACAAATATAGCTAGTGTACAAGATTACGGACATTGTTTTGTTTGCCAAAAATTTATACCTGTTGCAATGTAAGAGTTAAAAGATTTTTTTTTTAATGGTTTTTGTATTCAGTCAATTTCATCGTGAATCACTTTAGGGTATAAGATTTTTTACTTGAGATACGTATATATGTATTTTATTGGCACACTGGTGGAGAAAATGATATACGCGCCTGAACTACTAACCTCGATGTATAAAAAAATTTAATAAATTCTTCGATCTGTTCGTTATTTATAAAAAAATTAAATTTAGCGTTGATAAAATGATGAGGCACTTTTAATCAAATGAATGGACCGTCCTTCACGTTATAACAATTGAATGATTCTTCTTAGTAAACTTTTATACGGGGATTTGATATAATTTCTTTACTTGGACACTTCGATATTCTTCATTAGACTAATTTAGATGCCTTAACATTTTGTCCACCAGTGTACCGGTTACATCTTGGTATTAAATTGCAGTGTTATGTCTTGAGGGGCCTTTCTACTTCGCGGGATTTAAAATCTCGAATTTTTTTTTTGCGTTTTTTAACACTTTACCGACCGATAGCCGGTTAATCAACCGCTACCGGTCGGTAAAGAAGTTGATTAATACGCTATCGGTCGGTAAAACAGTCGATTAATAGGCTATCGGTCGGTAATGTGTTAATATGCAGTCTCGAAAATATATTAAATTGAAATTCCGGGAAAATATATTTTTAAAACTAGTCTCTCTATACCATGAACTAGGATAATTGCAATATATCCTTTTTTTTTTATTAACAAAAATGCAACCGAATATGTGAAAATGTTCAATATTTTTTTTCGTAGAATAGCTGCCATTTTTTTTTGCGTTTTTTATCACTTTACCGACCGGTAGCGGTTGATTAATCGGCTATCGGTCGGTAAAGAAGTTGATTAATACGCTATCGGTCGGTAAAACAGTCGATTAATAGGCTATCGGTCGGTAATGTGTTAATATGCAGTCTCGAAAATATATTAAATTGAAATTCCGGGAAAATATATTTTTAAAACTAGTCTCTCTATACCATGAACTAGGATAATTGCAATATATCCTTTTTTTTTTATTAACAAAAATGCAACCGAATATGTGAAAATGTTCAATATTTTTTTTCGTAAAATAGCTGTCATTTTTTTGTGCGTTTTTTAACACTTTACCGACCGGTAGCGGTTGATTAATCGGCTATCGGTCGGTAAAGAAGTTGATTAATACGCTATCGGTCGGTAAAACAGTCGATTAATAGGCTATCGGTCGGTAATGTGTTAATATTTAGTCTCGAAAATATATTAAATTGAAATTCCGGGAAAATATATCTTTAGAACTAGTCTCTCTATACCATGAACTAGGATAATTGCAATATATCCTTTTTTTTTTTATTAACAAAAATGCAACCGAATATGTGAAAATGTTCAATATGTTTTCGTAAAATAGCTGCCATTTTTTTGTTGAAAAGATCCTAATTCATGCTGTAACCAAACTTATTTATATTGAGAATATCTTTGGTTATCGGATCAATAAATATAAAAATTCGTAAACCCCCGGAATTAATCAAAGAAACGTGTATTTCGCGTGGAAAGTAGAATGGGCCCTTAAGAATTAAGCTTTAACTCTTGCTCAGCCAAACGGGGTCATTTTGACTAAACTAATGCTGCGTTGTTCGCGATCACGCGAAACAGCTGAACGAGGGATCGTGACTATTTCTTCCTTTTCTGTATAAAACTCGCGATAAAACAGTATCCGTGCCTCTTATCCATATTTTCGTGACTATTATATACTTTAAATTTCGTTTTCGCTACTTCGTTATGTTATTGTATATATATTTAGGTGTTTCAGTGTATCGTTGTTGCGTCTCTTAGAATTGATTTCAAAGCTTCGAAAGGACTGTGATTCCCGTTAATTAAAATGTCGGTCCAATTTTTAAGGGAAAGTTTTAAAAGACAGTGCGACATCACAGCTGAGAGGATCAGATTGTACTTTGTAAGCGGAACATATACGTAAACGCCAATTGGACGAATATTTTGGTAACGTTGTGTGAAACGGTGAGGGGGGGCGGAACGTGATGTAACTTCCTGGTTAATCCCGCAGGTGGCGCCCGTTGCCGATCGTCAAGATCGCCGCCCGTGGTTCCCGGTTCTCACTGGAACAAGGGAGTTACGTCACGCTCCCCGCGATACGTTACACACTTGTTCACCGATTTACAAACATCGCGTGTAACGACAGTGTTGCTGTGCAATTTGCAATGCACAAGCAAACGGGGAAATAAAAGCACGAAGATATCTTTAATTTCTTCGTGAAATGAAAACGAGCGCAATGTTTTAGTATCGGCATTGTACGATCAGAGGGGACAAATAAATCTTTATAAGAAATATATTCCTTTTTCGGATCTCAGTATTAACGGAGTGCCCGCGCGATTATAGTATTTCTCTAATAACGTTTAAACACGAGCATATCCAATTGTCACAAATGGTTCTTACGCGCGCGGTAATCGAAATGCCGTGAAACGAAAGTGTTTGCTCGAGAATCAATTTTTGCTAGTCAGATTTCCAAGGACGCGCAATGACTCTAGAGACGCAGGGGGTGGGTGGGGGGGGCGAGAAGTAGGAATTTTCCAATTGAACGGAGCGCGAGAATCTACGGGAGATGGCCCAGGGAGAATGCGAGAGAGAGTGAATGAGAGAGATCAGTAAAACTAGAATAGAAGAACGATTAGGAGACCCGATTTACAGGAAGCTGATATTTAAAACTATTCGTCACCGTTGCCAATAATTAAACGAATGCTGAATCAAAGCCTGACGTAACGAAGGTTTTAGTAACATTCTGTGCCATTGTCGTTTCTGTTTTACCATATAAGGTTTAAAATTATATATAAATATGTTCAGATCGCTCTTCGTCTTTTCTTACCGACAGGTCGGAGTAACGAAAATTTTATGGTAAAATTCGATCATCGAAGCGTTGAACGAAACAGATATTGCGCACGAAATTTGACCGTGCCCTCGAGATTCGAGTTTCGAGTTTCGCCCGATACGACCCGGTAAACGTGTTGTTGATATCCATTGTAATAGACGGCCAAACAGTGCCAAAAAAAAAAAAGGTATTGGACGAAGTATGAAACTGGGGAAGTGGAAGCAATTGGATGCTAAACGTTCTGGTGTCAGGACTGTTTCTTTTACTTGGTGCCTTTGGCGTCGTCGGAACGAGATTTGTTCGGGGATCGTCTTTCATTATCTTGTAAAAAAAGTGAAAGCTATCGATGAGAGACTGTAGTCCGCGAATAGCGAAAGAGTCTCCTGTATTCGTCGATGTCGCGAGAACTGACAATTATTTCAGTTTTGTAATGTTTCCCCACTTCTTAACACTTTACCGACCTGTAGCGGTCGGTAAAACAGTTGATCAATAGGCTATCGGTCGGTAACCGTTGGGCCGGTAAAACAGTCGGTCGGTAAAGTGTTAACGCGACGCAGTTAATCAGATCGATCGTGTTCAGTTTGCATTTTGCCGCTCTATGCGTTTAACGCCTTGAACGGCGTAAATTTATCATCGCTATTGTCAAATAATGTGGTACCATCTATTTTCATAGAGTTAAAAGTCGCGAAATAAATTATTGTACGGGCCGCGAATATCATTTTCTTCGATCACAGGCAGGATGAATAGTTTTGTTAACAGAGAATCGCTACGATTGTTTTACGATATTATTCCCGATTTTTTTTTGGGGGGGGGGGTGGGTGGGGTGGGGGAGAGGCGATATACAAGTTTAGCGTAACTATCAAACATTGTCCAGCATGATCTGTGGAAACGTTACGTTTCGTGGCGCTGCTTTACTGCTGGTAGAAAGTCAAAATCGTAGGAGGACAGAAAAGGGAAAGGAATGTATTTATAGGAACCGAAGAGCCCTCTGGTGGCGAAAATGAGAAGCAACGCCACATCACTCCCCTGTCAGTGATTATTAGTCTACTATTTATAAGACTGATTCGGTATCGTTATCACTAGCAGGGGCTATCACAGATGTGGCGTTGCTTTCCATGCTCGCCACCAGAGGGATCGCGCTCTCACAAGCGCTCGACCGACTCCTCGTTGCTATATACAACGTGGTCAGCCATCCCTGGGAAAAATTTTAATGAGAGACTCCAGACACCAAAATAAGACGAAAATTAAGAATACAAATTTGTTGATGGGGGCTTCGTTAAAAAGTTATTAACGTTTAAAGATTCACCCTCACTGAATTTTTTTCTCGAAAATGCGCAAGATTTCGGGGGTACGTGTAATGACCAAAAATGATTCTAATTGACCCCCCCCCAACTAAAAATAATTTTTTCGGAATTATTTGAAATTTTTCCATTTCGACGAAAAATGTTTCCAGATTTCTGAATTTTTTTTCGTGAAAATGCGTAGGATTTCGGGGTTATGTCTAATGACCAAAACTGATTGTAATTGACTCCCACATCCAAAAATAATTTTTCCAGAACCATTTGAAATTTTTTACTTTCGTCGAGAAATGGCACCCTGTCGATTTTTCTTAAAAATTCGTTTTTCATTTTTAGCAATTTTGTTTGACGCCCTATAGAAAAGTTATCTAATACTTTATTGTAGATACACATGAACTCTACTTTAGAAAAAAGTTTCATTAAAAGATATTCACCCTTATAGGAATTATGGTAGTTTGAATATTGGTTCATTTTTATGGGGTTTTTTTTAACTTTACGGGGTCAAGAAACAACTTTTTCAATATTCTTAGAATTTCTACGTATTCTTTATCAAATTACGCGCTGTTTGCCGGTTGAAACATTAAAATCCTCTAATCCGTTCAGAAGTTATGATATTTTAAAGATTCTAAGACTAAGGAATTTTTTTCTCGAAACTGAGTGGGATTTCGGGGGTATCTGTAATGACCAAAAATTATTGTAATGAACCCCCGCAACCGAACATAATTTTTCAAAAATTATTTGAACAATATTTTTTTCGCCGAAATATTTCAGAATTTACACGATTTTTTTTCTCGAAACTGAGTGGGATTTCGGGGGTATCTGTAATGACCAAAAATGATTCTAATTGACCCCCGCAGCCGAACATAATTTTTCAAAAATTATTTGAACAATATTTTTTTCGCCGAAACATTTCAGAATTTACTCGATTTTTTTTCTCGAAACCGAGTGGGATTTCGGGGGTATCTGTAATGACCAAAAATGATTCTAATTGACCCCCGCAGCCGAACATAATTTTTCCAAAATGATTCGAACAATTTTTTTTCGCCGAAAAATTTCAGAATATACTCGATTTTTTTTCTCGAAACTGAGTGGGATTTCGGGGGTATCTGTAATGACCAAAAATTATTGTAATTGACCCCCGCGACCGAACATAATTTTTCCAAAATGATTCGAACAATTTTTTTTCGCCGAAAAATTTCAGAATTTACTCGATTTTTTTCTCGAAAATGGTTGAGATTTTGGGGGTATACGTATTCACCAAAAACGATTGTA